CAGAGAAGTGTAAGTGCAAAATACCTGACACGACCTGTGACACGACCTGTGACACGGGCGTGTCAGGTCGTCTCGCGCGTGCGGACAGTTTTTATTCTCTTGCCTTTTTGGATAAGGAGAGGAGTTTTTGGACATTAAGAAGAGCATATTAACCCTATTATGAGGGAGGAACAAAGAGAATACAAGGAGAAAGGCTTAGAACACACAAGAGAAGCAATTGGGAAGCAAAAAGAGGATCAACTACAAAGGGATCAATAAGATTGAAAGATCAACGAGATTCCTAGTTTTTATCTCTTCTTTCCTTTTGAACTTTATTGATCATGTCGATTTCTAATATGTCTATGTGTTTGAATTCGGACATGAGTAGCTAGATTTCTTTGATTTTAAGACATGGTAGTAGATTAATATGTTGGGATTTTGGATGATTTATTTATAATTTATTGTTTCTCTTTTGAACCCTATTCAAGTATTTTGTTCTTATTTCATGTTTAGAACTTGATCAATTCTTTTACATGTTTGACAATATTGTTCATAATTCGAGAGATGAGTTCAATATTAGGTCTTTAATACTTGACATAATTTACTTGCTTGAATCCAGAGATTAGTAGGTAATTGTGAGGATTTTGGGTCTTTTAATCTTTTTGGAGTTGAATTGCATGTGTTGAGTGGAGACGCTAATATATGTGATTTAATCTACGGTCTTATCGATCTCGAGAGGGACGATAGGCTAATTTTGTGATCAACTTATAGGGTAGATAAAGAAAATAGTTAATTGTGATATATTTGAAGGAACCCAACTGTTAATTGAACCCATAGTCTTAGAATCTACCATTCCCATATATTCTTCTTAAGTGTTTTTTTCTAGTTGTTTTCTTGTTATCGCTTTCTTATCTTTTGAATTATTTTTTTAGTTTAGTTAATCAATATTATATTCGGTCGTCTAAATAAAACTGGCACTATCATAATCTAGTACTTGATTAATTGGTTGTTTGGTCTCTTGGGATACGACCTTGCTTGCCACATACTACGAGCGAAGCCGTACACTTGCGGTCGAGCTTTAAAAATATAGGCGAACAAGTTTTTTGTCATAATACACAGAGCGTTTGGGGAGATTTGATTTATTGGGATACTATACAAATCGCTTATCTCCAAAAGCTCGACTTGAATAGGAAAGCGGAGACCAAAAATGACTTGGTCGACAAAAAAAGGATGACAGCCCTGCGAAGGACAAGTGAAATCGCTGTCAGGGCCTGGAACAACTAACTCCCAATCGGAGGGAAGCCCGCTAAATTGCCTAATGCTCTCGACTTGAGCCATAGAGGCGTAAGAAAAAGGATTTAAAGTAGCCAATTTGGCCAGAGGGCAGGCTATGGATACAACCTCTCGAGGGTCGACGAGAGGAGTAGTTATTGATATGGGTACAGGACTGGTGCTATATACAGGAATATCTAATAACCTAAGGGGAATACCTCGAGGAATCAAGTCGAGACAAGGAGAATCTCCCCGGGGACTTCTTGAAACCTCTACTAAGCCACCATCTAATAGTGCCTGGTCATATTCAGCCCAGTTGACCTTTGGGGTAGAAGCGCGCGAGGAAGAAGGAGAAGTGTTAACCATCCTATAACTGACTATCTCGACTGACATAATGTCTTATTTGTCTTAAAAACCCCTTTTTCGAAATTTGAAATTTGAAAAAGATTCAGACTTATCCAATCAATTCGAAATCTATCGGGTAGACAAGTCACTTGCGAGTCGAGATAACAAGCAAACAGGATGTGTGAAATGATCCGAGCAAGACCTTCAGTTGACAAAACTTACTCTTAAGCTCAGAATCGCTTCGAGTAATTTTTGGGAGTGACTAGATGATATAGCCATATTATCGTGCATCGGTTTATGCTATCTACGGTTCAGAGATTACTGAGTCGACTTAGCCAAAGTCGACCCTCTCTGCAGATTCCCTATGATATCCTTGGTCAGGAATCCAGGCGTCTCTCGGTCGACTTCCACGTGTCGACTAGAATAATTCGATTTCTCCGGAAGGACGAATAAGCGCATCAGGGTCTACCAATGACTGAAGATGACCCCGTCGACTCGAGTAGGTATCCTTAGTCGGCTGGGGAAGTCCCGAGGTTCATAGATCCCCGACGATCCGATATACTTCGATATATCATAGAAAAACTACTAAGGATAAGAAAAATCTAAATGCTGACTAGGAGAATAATGGAATGTGAACCGACCAGGGTATTTTGGGCATTTCCAGTAAGTCGGCCAGGGCATTTTGGGAACTTCAGGTAAATGTCTCGCTTCTATATAAAGGAGCTGAGGTAACCCCAAAACCCTAACTTCCATTCATTCCATACTCTCCCCCATTACTGCTGCTGCTCTCTCAGAGCAGCTCTCTTCCTCTCTCTCACATACTGACTTGAGCGTCGGAGGCTTTACGCCGGAAACCCCTCCGGCGTTGAGTTCTTGCAGGTTTTCTTGTGGTTCAACAACGGTTCGAAGGCTATCGAGTCAGATCTGAGCTCATTCCCATCGGTTCATTCCAGATCTGGGCGGTTTTCCATCGGTTCACTCCAGATCTAAGAGGAGACCCATCATTGTGACGCCGTCTGTGGGGAGTTCTTGAAGGAATTAAGAGCTTTTACACCTAGCTTTAATCTATCTTTGATGGCCGAGAAGGAGGGATTACAGAATAATTTGAATGAGAATTTCAGGGCAACATGGACTGACAAGCGGCCTCCGCCGATTCCCAACCCCAGGCCACCGCTCCAAGTGTTTGGCTTTCCACCGTTCGGAGCACACGCGCCGTCAGAGGCGCGTATGGGGGAGGAGACACCCATCACCCTACCTGGAGTCAAGATCCCAGTGCTCACGCAAGGGGAGGCCAGTCACGTGAAAGACACGAGCGGAGAAATGGATGGTCATGCAACCGAAACATCTTTGAGATTGGGGAGGCAGCCAGGGCGACTTGAGCAGGAAACAAGGCCACCACCCCAAGTCGAGGAGCAAACACTGATCATAAAGAGAAGCGAGATGCAGAGGATGATTGCAGAGGCAGTAGCGGCCCAACTCAAACAGGCGCAAGTCGACCAACCCAGGATCGAGCAGCCAAAGGTCGAACAGCCTCGAATCGAACAGCATCCCCCGGAGCGTGAACAGCAAGCCCAATCCCATGAAAGACAGAGTAGGAGGGCGGACGAGGAGAAATCTTCTGTCAGAACTGTCAACCCACAAGCAAGGAACGACACTCTCGAGCAGTTGCTAGCTCAGGTGTGAGATCTGCAGGCTCGAGTCGAAGGGTGAAAAACGGGGAGCTCGAGAGGACACCCCTTTTCGCAACACATTCTAGACGCTGACTTGCCTCAGGGGTTCAGAGAGCTTAACATTTGGTACGATGGGTCGACTGATCCCTCTCGGCATCTAAGAAGTTTTGAAAACATGGCAGTGCTACATCGCTACAATGATCGCGTTCAATGTCGAGTGTTCTTGATGACTCTGCGAGGACCTGCACAAGATTGGTTCCATCAGTTGCCTCTAGGAGCCGTCAGGGACTTTGACGGATTCAGCTCGAGTTTTTTTAATCAATTTGCAAGCGTGAAAGCCCAGGAAAAATCTTATCTTACTCTGATAGGTATGCAACAAAAGGAGGGAGAGTTGTTGCGAGACTATGTGGCGAGATACACGCGAGCATGTGTCGATGTGCCTTCGGCCACAGAGGAAATTAAGTCGGGTGGACTCACCCGGGGATTGCTCTCAGGACTGTGCAGAAACTCTTTGGCGAAGCTACCTGGGAGGACCTTTGACGAAGTCCTGGGGAGGTGCGCCAAATATATGAATGTGGAGGAAGCAGAAGCCGATTTTTTGCAGACGGCAAAGGCAAAAACCCTCCCCGATCCCCGGGAAGAGAAGAAAGATAAAAAACCGAGTTCGACGATAGAAAGGAAAGGATCCCCGAGAGCAGAGAAAGAAGGACGTTCGAGGGGATGGAGACTAACTCAATATACCCCCTGTTGGCCTCGAATGCAAGTATATTGGAGGTGATGGAGAAAGAGATTCGTGAAAATGTCGTCAGGTGGCCTCGAACGAGAAAGGATGGACCGACACAACCTAAAAGCATTATGTATTGCCGATTCCACAAGGATTATGGGCACAACACTGATGAATGTAGACACCTCAAGGATGAGATTGAAAGATTAATCAAGGTCGGCCATCTGAAGGAATTCGTTTATAAGGATCGAGAAAAAACTAGTCGACGAAGGGAGAGAAGTAAGAGCCCCCGCAAGAGGGCGAGAACACCCGACAAAGAGGACCTTCCTCCAAAAAGAGGAATAATTTATATGATATTCGGAGGGCCGACTGATGGAGATTCAAATCGAGCCAGAAAGGCGTATGCTCGAGGCCGCCACGGGAAAGCTGAAGTGCAGCAGGTCGAGAAGAACGGACCAGTAGTGAATTTCAGGCCAGCAGACGTGGGAGAGGTCGAGAGACCTCACAATGATGCTCTGATGATCACTGCTCAAATATCAGGCTATGAAGTACAAAGGATCTTTGTCGACACAAGAAGTTCAGTGAATGTGATCTTTTATGACTGTCTCAAGCGAATAGAAGTCGACATCGAGCTTACACCCCTACACACCTCGCTTTTTAGGTTTAATGGGTCGGAAGTCACACCCCTAGGAGAAACCACGCTTGTCGTTGTCCTGGGGGAAGGTAACTTGAAGAAAGTAAGGATGGTGCGATTCGTTGTAGTCGACGTCGAGTCGGCTTATAATGTGATTCTGGGAAGACCGGCGCTCAACGCATTCCAAGCAGTGGTGTCGACCTACCACATGAAGCTAAAGTTCCTCGTTGGAGATAGAGTAGGGAAGGCCCAAGGAGACCAAAAGTTATCAAGAACCTGTTACCAGATAGCAGTGAAAACAAACCAGCGAGCGGAAGCAAAGGAAGGAAAAAAGCCAATGTCGAGCGAAAAAAGACCAAGGGAAAGCGATCTTGAGCCGCATGGAGAATTGATGGAAATTCAAATCGGGGAAAGAGAGGAGCAGACCACTAAAGTCGGGAGAGAGTTAGAGGATGAATTGCGTAGACAGTTGGTGGGGTTGTTGAAAGAATTCAAGGACATATTTGCCTTTTCCCCTGAAGAATTAACGGGAATCGACCCCGATGTCATGGAACACAAACTTAATGTCGATCCCTTCAGAAAGCCAGTGAAACAACGACTCCGGCATCATGGAGCGAAAATCGATAAGGCAATCGAGGTCGAGGTGGACAAATTACTGAAAGCTAAACATATCAAAGAAATTCAGTTCCCTGAATGGATATCGAACACTGTGATGGTGAGAAAAGCATTGAATAAATGGCGTATATGCATTGATTTTCGCGATTTGAATTTAGTATGCCCGAAAGATCACTACCCTTTGCCAAGAATCGACCAGCTGGTCGACTCCACGGCCGACTGTCAACTGTTAAGTATGATGGACTCATCCCAAGGGTATCATCAAATTCCGCTGGCCCCCGAGGATCAAAGCAAAGTTAGTTTCGTGACGAGCAAGGGGACGTATTGTTATGTCGTCATGCCCTTTGGGCTAAAAAATGAGGGGGCAACGTATCAAAGGTTAATGGATCGAATGTTTGAACCCCAAATCGGGCAAAATGTAGAGGTGTACGTGGACGATATCCTGGTGAAAAGCAAGTCCTCGATCTCGCATGTAGAAGATTTAAGGGAGACATTCAAGACATTGAGAACATTTGGGATGAAGCTAAACACGAGTAAGTGCGCTTTCAGAGTGAAGGCGGGACGATTCTTGGGATATGTAGTGACTGAAAGGGGCATCGAAGTAAACAAGGATAAAGTAAAGGCTATACTCGATATGGCCGCACCCAGAAGCATCAGAGATATACAAGTCTTGGCAGGACGAATTGCTGGCCTGAGCAGATTCATTGCTCGCGCAGCAAAGAAAAGTTTCGCATTTTTCAAATTGCTTAAAAAGAAAGCTTTCCAATGGAGTGACGAGGCGCAAGTAGCATTCGAAAAATTGAAAGAATTTCTGAGTGAATTGCCACTATTAACAAAACCAGAACCAGGTGATGAGCTGGTGTTTTACATCTCAGTGGGAGTATTCTCCTTAAGCTCAGTTTTGTTGCGAGAAGCAGCAGGAGCCCAACAGCCGATCTATTACACGAGTCGAGTACTTCAGGGTGCAGAAACGAGGTATTCTGAAGTCAAAAAAGCTGCCCTGACATTAGTCATAACAACTAGGAAGCTAAGGCCATATTTCTTGAACCATGTAATAATATTAAGAACGAATTTCCAGCTCGGAGAGACCCTGGGGCGACCTACTATTTCAGGTCGACTCGTAAGATGGGCGGTTGAACTAAGCGAGTACTCCATCAAGTATGAACCAAGACGAGCCATAAAAGCCCACGCCTTAGCCGATTTTATCCAAGAAGGAACTAAGGTAGAAGAGAAGAAATGGGTAATGCATGTTGATGGATCTTCGTCGGCCAAGGGATCTGGTTTAGGAGTTTTTCTCGTCTCTCCCGACGGCGAGCAACTCGATTTCGCCATTAGAATGGGTTTCAAAGCCTCAAACAACGAAGCAGAGTGCGAGGCATTGATTAAAGGAATTCAGCTCGCAATCGGTGGCGGAGCAACAGAAATCGTCGCTCACTCTGATTCACAACTTGTCATGAATCAAGTCATGGGTGTAACACCCCACTTTGATTTTAAAGAAATTCCGGACTTTTTAAATATCAGTGTAAAATTTTCAAAATCATTTTCGAAAATTCAATGGGTGTTAAACAACATTTTTCATAACCCAAGTCTTATCTTGGCTCACGGGGATTCATTACCCGATTTTCACAAACGGTTTTCATTAACCGAAACACATCACGAGACATAATACTCAACATGCATATATCATCAACCACAATACCCACCAATCCGGGTTCCACAAATTTTCCAAAACAACAAATCATAGGTTTTTGGAAAATATCATAATCAAGTCCCAACATAATCGTTCATAAAACCTTATTCATACGGAAGCGATGAACAAATAAAAACAACCGACCCACTCGCCTCTTCTCGTCACCCAGCTCCTGCTTAACCTGCATCGGTAAAGAGCAGGTGGGGATGAGCACTAGATGAAAAGCGTGCTCACCACTATGCACATAAATAATACATGTTAAGATGGTATGGTCGCAGTATGAATATAAATCAATCATCATCTTGTCTCATCTCCTAACAATCACAACAATAACTCACTCATGTGCACATCTATCATTAGCCGCGGAAAGGGGATGCATAAACCCTAACGACGGGAGTGCATGCCACTGTAACGGACACGGCCTTTCATTAGGTCTTAAGGAGACTTGCCTCGCAAGGGCAACCGTACCGTAACTCGACGGGGACAACCGTACCGACGGCCGTAACAGCTCACATCAGTAGGCTACATGGTTCAAATGCATACATTGATCATACCAATTAATACATTAAACAACACGTATGGCATATACAATTTTATAAGTAAAACCCACCTGGATGATAACAAGCCAAAGCACAACAATAATGGGTAAGCGGTGAGCTCGGCTCGTCAAGCACCTACATTTATTAAAATAGTCCTATAAATGACTATTCAACACATGACTAACTAATCATAATAATCACTTAGTCCAATTATGCTCATTCAAGGAAATATCATTTTCGATAGTACTACATACGTTTTTCAAAATTTAACCCGGGCAGCGTTTTTAAAATCAACATAACTTTCAGTACATAATTCGGATGAATATGATTTAAGTCGCACTGTAATCCTAAGGTATGCATCTACAATTCTTATGAAGACACAAAAAGCAAATAAGGTCTTTTACTAGGAATTAAATCATCAAACATTCAAAACTGAGTAGCAGTCAAAAATTGAGAACTTGTAACCGACCAGATTTCAGTAATTGCTAGATAACTGGAGCTACAGATATGATTTTAATGAGATTCAAAAACCACGTGATAGCTAACTCAAATGTCTACAACTTTGCTGAAGACTATATTTGCAAATAATCATGTCATAGCCCTCATTTCAGAACATACATTTTGAGTATATACACAGCCACTGCATCAAAATTCTGGACATAAACCAAACTTAGAAAAATTATATAAAATCAACTAAAACTCTAAATTGCATGATTTAAACTTCTTTTAAAAGCTTATAACATGTACTACAAGTTTTATGATGATTACATTTTCATATAGCCATATTAGGATCATAAAAAACAGCCTAACATCTTAATCACCAAACCTGCCCGGATATATAAAAACAGCATGCATGTACAACTTCAAAAATTCATAAGAAATTCAAATCAATTCTAAATGACTTGATTTAAAAACTAACAGATCTTTAACTTGATTAGCTACAATCTTTCAGAAGACAATATTGACAGATAACAATATCATCGATGAGTTTAAACACAAAACATATGGTTTATGAAATCTGGTAGGAATAATTTCATGCTACAAATAACACCTCAATATATTAACTACAACTCATGCTACCGATCTTATATCAATATGTACTTTACCTCAATAGAACGATATGAAAGATATCTACAACTTTCATGATGGTCACTTTTTCAGTTGAGCATTTTAAGATATGATAAACAGATCAAACATTAAGTGAACACAAGCTGCCGGGATTTTATAAAAACTGATTGCGCGACGATGTTTGGAAAATCATAACTTAATCGATATAAATCGGATTCATAAAATTCCAAAGGCTAGTGAAAGCTAATGAAACGAAATACATTTCATATGAAGAATACATATTCAGAAAACAAATGCTTGAAGTCATAACCGAGGAACCTTACCTCCTTCAAGAAGACAAAAATGTGGAGAAATGAAAGAGGTGTTGCTCGGTTCTTCTACTTCTCTTCCTATCTTGCTTGAAATCCGATTTTCTCTCTATTTGCTCAAGTTATTCAGGTTTTTAATGGTCTAATACAACTAAAGAATGAAACACAACAACATGATAAGAGGGGACATAAGATCTAGATCCCATCTAAACCAAAAACTAATATTTTACCAACATATGATGCCAAAAGAGAGTAACATGGTTCTCTAACTCATGCATGAGTATGGATTCGGTTTTGGCACTTAAAATAGCTGAACAAAATTTATCAACTTTGGTTTTGATGCCTACTAAAAGGATTGAGAAGAAAATAAATTTTACGGAACCGAAATCGGACTTAAAATCTGACAATAATTGAAAACCGAAGAATTTGACTACAAGCAATTTTTCCTCTTCTAATTCGGTTTTTATAGATAAAAAAATACTATTAAAGAGATGGCAATGTTATAGTCTTAAGGTCTTGTTGATTCGTTTTGATGTTCGGGTTGCAACGGTTCTAAAACGATTCAAACGAACAAAAATTCGGCTTACGCGATTACATCGAAAAATTCAAACTATGACTGATAAAATAAAACCGAAACGAGCTATATAATCATAGTATCCATATAATATTATAAAATATAATCTAAAAATTAAGATTCGATAAATAGAATAATCCGAGAAATTCTATAAATCGAACGGGGCGTTACAATGGGGAACTGTGAAATAAAAGAAAGCAGAATGCAGAAGTATGTTGAGAAAGTTCAAAGCCTGGTGCGAGGCGTACACAAATTTGAGCTAACCCAAGTCCCCCGATAGGAGAACAAACGAGCCGACTGGCTCGCCAAGATGGCCAGTTCAAATGAGGGGAAGATGAGAGCCCACATTACCACCATGAATCTGGAAAGAAGTGTCCTGGGAGAAACAATGGAGGTCAAAGAAAAGAGTGATTGGAGGATGTCGATTCGCGAGCTTTTACAACGGAAAGTGCCTACCGGAGATAAGCAGGAAGCCGAAAAAGCAGCTCGATACTTAAGCAAATATTTTGAAATTGAAGGGGTGCTATACAAGAGGTCGTATGTCGGGCCCCATCTGAGATGCATTTCTGAAGACGAGGGAAATTATGTCTTGCGGGAAGTTCACGAAGGATGTTGTGGGGCTCACGTCGGATCTCGGGCCTTAGCTGGAAAAGTTCTGTGGGCTGGCTATTATTGGCCGAAAGTCAGGAGAATGGCCGAGCAGTTAGTACAAGGATGTGAGAGATGCCAGCGTCATGGTCCGATTCCTCATATCCCCGCTGAGACCATGACCACAATCAACTGCTCGATCCCCTTTTCTCTTTGGGGAATCGACTTGGTGGGACCTTTGCCAATGGGGACCGGACAAAGAAAATTCCTGGTAGTCGCTGTCGACTACTTTAGCAAATGGGTCGAAGCAGAACTACTGGCGACAATTACCGAGGAAAAAATGATCCAGTTCCTATTTAACAACATCTGCTGTCGATTCAGAATCCCGAAGATAATAATTTCAGATAATGGAACTCAGTTTCAGAGCAAGCGAATCCAGGCATGGTGCCTTGATATGGGAATCAAACAGAGGTTCGCCTCGGTCGCTCACCCCCAAGCCAACGGGCAAGTCGAGGTTACGAATACAACCATCTTGCAGGGGCTGAAGAAGCGATTGGTGAAAGCGTCGGGAGCCTGGGTCGACGAGCTAACCACCGTTCTATGGGCATACCGGACTACACCGAGGAGTTCGACAGGGCAATCACCATTCAGTATGGTATATGGGATGGATTCCCTCTTGCCAGTAGAAATCGCACTAAGTTCACACAGATCGACATATTTTGAGCAAGAAAAGAACGAGGAAATGGCCAAAGAACCTCTTGACTTAATCGAAGAAGGGCGAGAAGAAGCATGGGTGCGATCCGTTGAGTATAAGCAAAAGATGCGCGCGGCCTTTGACAAAAAAGTTCGAACCCGATGTTTCGAAGTCGGGTACCTCGTCCTCAAGCGAGCTGACGCCCTAAAACACGTCGGAAAGCTCAAAGCTAATTGGGAGGGACCTTTCACGGTCACGAAGGTTCTCGGGAGAGGAGCATACGAACTCGAAGATGGAGAAGGTCGACATCTGCCTCAATCTTGGCATGTGATCAATCTCAAGCGCTTTTAAGCTTAATGGGTGAATTTACGTTTCGAATTTATGCTTTGCACTCTTTTGTACTGAACAACGCTCAAATCAAATTCAGTTATGAAATAAACTTCAAAGTTACGTTTCAATTGCGTCTTTTACATTTCGTTATGTCGACCCTATCATGCTTACCCGAAGAATCGAATGTTGTTAAGAACTGCAAAATAAGTTTTACATATTACAGTAGTGAACTTAAATAAACTACGAAGTGATAACTCGAGTAGAATCTCGACGAGGTTATGAAGCCTACGACTGCGAAGTCTATTGTTAAACAACTACGAAGTTGTAACTCGAGTAGAATCTCGACAAGGCTATGAAGCCTACGACTACGAAGTCGATTTTGAACAACTAAGAAGTTGTAACTCGAGTAGAATCTCGACAAGGCTATGAAGCCTACGACTACGAAGTCGATTTTGAACAACTAAGAAGTTGT